GGCCCCAAACCCAGCTGGCTTTAGGAAAATACAGAGTGGCCATTGTATAGAATTTACCCTTTGGATTTTGTACTGACAGTAACTTGAGGGTACAAAACAACTGACCAAATTATGCCTGGTATTCATTTAAGGAGTCCTTGTGCCATAATAAAGGAGCTCTCTAGTCGTGCAGTGCCTGAGGCACTTGACTACTAGCCAGAAGGTTCGCAGTTCAAACCCACCAGCTGGTCTGTGGAAGGAAGATGAAGCAATCTACTTCTGTAAAGATTTACTGCCTTGGAAACCCAGTGGGAGTTGCTATGAGTCAGAATTGACTCAATGGCAGTGTTTTTGTTTGTTTGCTTGTTTGTTTTGTGGCACAATAAGGAACACTGGTGTTGCAGTGCTTAAAGGATTTGGCTGCTAACCAAAAGATCAGCAGTTTGAACCCAGCAGCCACTCTGTGGGAGAAGATGAAGCGATCTGCTTCCATGAAGATTTATAGCCTTGGAAACCCTGTGGGGCAGCTTTGCTGTGTCCTTTGTGATCACTATGAGAATTGACTCGAAAGCACACAACGTTTAAGAAAGGGAGCCCTGATGGCACAACAGTTAAGTGCTTGACTGCTCAGGTTGGTGGTTCTAACCCACCTAGTGGCTCTGCTGGAGAAAGACTTCTGTGGTCTGCTTCTGTAAAGACTGAAAACCAAATCCATTGAGTTGATGCCCTGTAAAGATTGTGTGCTAGAAAACCCCATGGGGCAGTGAGAAAGGACATACCATTATTGTTATTATCCTGAGCTTCCCCCATTGTCTTCAGAAGCTGATTGTGTGTTCCGATAGACTGAGAAGTCTGACAATTTAAACACAAATCGTAGTTTTAAATTTCCTAAAACAACTGTTGGGAGCTCTGGTAGCATAGTGGCTAAGACACTTGCCTGCTAACCAGATGGCTGGCGGTTCAAACCCACCAGCCACTCCTCGGAAGGAAGGTTGGGCAATCCTACTTCCGTAGTGATACTGCCTCGGAAACCCAAGGAGGGGTCGCTATGATTCGGGGCCGACTCATCGGCACATAACAACAACAACAACAACAAAACAATTGTTAAGGCATCGTGGAGTAGACTAGTGATGTCACTGTGTTTTTGTTGTGCTAAAGAATCAAATGAAAAAAACCTTGTTTTCATCTTCGTGTAATTTATCTTTGGCCACATGCTTTTGAATTCCAGTAAGATAAAAGAGTCTCCATTAGATACTACCATTCGCAAAGAATAGTCACACGAGCCAAATTACATCCTCTAGGAAATTGATCTGTGTAATTGTTGTCAGGTGTCATGGATCTTTGTCGTAGCTGTCCATAAGTCCTGTAGCCCATGTTTACTTTTATTTGTTTGTTCTTTGTTTTAAACCTTTGTCCCAGCCCTGTCACTTTATATCAACTTCATGAAGATGTGCCCACATCTCTATAAAATGTTTTGGTTATAACTTCCTCCTATGTTTTGTTTTCATTTCTTTGCTTTTTTTTCCTTCCTTCTTTCCCAGTCCCCTCTCCCCTGGTAACCACTACTCTACTTTTTTCGCCCTAACATTGCCACTTGGATTGATTCATCTTTATTAATGTGCTGTTTTGTTGATAAGATGTTGATCAAAAACATAGAGGGGCTATTTGTTGGTTGGTTTGTTGCTTCTAATTTCACCTTGCTCTCCCCATTCCAGGACTCCTTCCTTTGCTCCAAATGAAGACAGTATTATAGCTAAGAAACAAATTCCCGGAACAGAGCCATTATCTGCCTCTTCTTTCTTTCCTCTTCCTCACTCTCTAGGTTTCCTTCAGTCAAGATCAGCCTGGAAAGGTCACTTCTGTGTGATTTGCTCTTTGAGCAGTACGCTTCTCAGTTGGCAGACCACTAATAAACTTTTGAGTCTCTTCATTTGCCTCTTCTGGGTATTTCATGTAAGTTAGCTCATGGAGTATTTGTCCTTCTGCATCTGGCTTACTTCCGTCAGCATAGTCTTTTCAGGGTTCAGCCATGCTGTAGCACTTAGGAGAACTGCATTTTACTTTATGCATGAATAATACACCATTGCACCTGTATACCACAGTTTGTTTACCCATTCCTTTGTTGGTGAGCACTTGGCCATCAACCTTTTGACTATTGCAAATACTACTGCTATGGACATTGGTGCCCAAGTGTCTGTTTGAGTTCCTGCTTTCAGTTCTTTGGGGTATATAACTAGGAATGGAATTATTGGGACATAATGGTAATTCTTTGTTTAACTTTTTGAGGAATAGCTCCTAACTTTTCCACAATGGCTGGACCATTTTACATTCCTACCAGCAATGGATAAGGGTTCCAGTTTCTCTGAATTCTCACCAACACTTGTGGTTTTCTGTTTGTGTGTATATGTATTTCACAATAGCCAACCTAGTGAGTGTGAAGTGGTATTTTATTGTGGTTTTGATTTGCATTAAGCACTGGGCTGCTAACCCAAAGATGGCAGTTCAAACCCACTAGCAACTCCATGGGAGAAAAGACTTGACAATCTGCTCCCCTAAAGATTACAGCCTGTTGTCGTTCTTCCTGTTAGATGCCATCGAGTAGGTTTGGACTCATAGTGACCCTGTGTACAACAGACTGAAATGCTGCTGGCTCCTGCACCATCATCACAACCTGTGCGCTGTTTGAGCCCATTGTTGCAGCCACTCCATCAGTCTATCTCATTGAGGATCTTCCTCTTTTTCACTGACCCTCTACTTTACCAATCATGATGTCCTTCTCCAGGGACTGTTCCTCCTGATAATGTGTCCAAAATATGGAGAGACAAAGTCTCACCATCCTTACTTCTAAGGAACATTCTGGCTGTACTTCTTCCAAGAAAGATTGGTTCATTCTTCCGGCAGTCCATGATGTATTCAGTATTCTTCATCAACACCACAATTCAAATGCATTAATTCTTTGGTCTTCCTTACTCATTGTCTAGCTTTCATATGCTATGGAGCTATGAAAATACCATGGCTTGGGTTAGGCACACCTTAGTCCTCAAGATGACATCTTTGCTTTTTAACACTTTAAAGAGGTCTTTTGCAACAGATTTGCTCAGTACAGTATGACATCTGATTTCTTGACTTCTGCTTCCATGGGTGTTGATTGTGGATCCAAGTAAAATGAAATCCTTAACGACTTCAGTATTTTCTCTATTTATCATGTTACTGTTCATTGGTCCACTTGTGAAGATTTTTGTTTTCTTTATGTTGAGGTGTAATCCATACTGAAGGCTGTAGCCTTTAATCTTTATCAGTAAATGCTTCAAGTCCTCTTGGCTTTCAGGAAGCAAGGTTGTGTCATTTGCATATCACAGGTTGTAAATGAGTCTTCCTCTAATACTGCTGCTGTGTACTTTTTCATATAGATAGTCTAGCTTCTCAGATTAGAAAAGATGTGATCTGTTCCCCTAAAGAATATAGCCTAGGAAACCGTATGGAGCAATTCTACCCTGCATTACAGGGTCACTGTGAGTCAGAATTGACTCAAAGATACACAACAACACAAACAAGGACTAGAACTACTGACATTGAACATTTTTTTGTGAGTTTATTGGCCATTTGTGTATCTTCTTTGGGGAAATGTCTATTCAAGTCCTTTGCCCATTTTTTAATTGGGTGATTA